ACTCAGTTTGGGCAAAAAGATCACATAAATTGATTATAAACAATAACATATTACAGTTATCAAAATGGTTCATTGAAACATCTGTAAAAATTATCAGTGAAGTAATGAAAAATTGATGGGAACATAGAGTTGAAAAAGTAGTTGAAAATTAGCAGGTTAAAATATGGCGGGATTTCTGAATACATACTGATAAAACTTTGGCTCATAACACACCAGATTTATCTGGGGCTGAAAAGAAGAAAGTGAGGATAATGACAAAATTTCTGTCAATTACAAAAAGCCACACTGCTTGAATCCACACATAAACTACACTGATACATTACAATATTCTAGGTTCTTGGAAAGAACTCAGTGCATAAAAAGCCAACAGCTAAAGAATTTGCAGCTGTGATTTCATATTTTTGTGTATACAATAATAATGTAAACTTGTGTGCACAAGTGGATTTTACTGTTCATTCTTTCTCCCTCCAAAAATCATATCTGTTGAGAGAATATATTTCTAATTGTTCAGTTTAAGCAAAATGTTATAGCAAATAATTAAGTCCCTTCTTTTACAGGAGGGCTGGAAAAGACAAAGAGAGAAGCCTTTAAATCAGTAAAATTAAGATGTAGCATTAAAGTAAAATAATATTGTTACCAAATGTTACTTGGCACCAAGCACATTTTGGAGTGTCATAAAACAATTAAGAAATCGTCAAAGAAACTAAAATAATTTTCCTGTAATTCCAGAAAAATTGTTGCCCATTATCCAATTTGTATTAAATTTTGCTCAAAGCAAAAAATTTAGTAATATATTAACTGATATAATTTATTTGGAGATGGAGGGCAGAGGGAAAATGAACAATAAAATCCAGATCTGGATGTGCTAAGTTTAAAACTTACGGCTTAAATTCACCCTTTGTCTTTAGGCGGAACGTTTCCTCTTAATAATTGATAATTGAGATCATGTTCCAAAACATTTCTTTCTTCTGCAACTATTTGGAGTCCAACTTCTAAGTTAAATGTAATATATAATTTATTAATAGAAGGAGAACTGAAAGCTATACTGTATTTATCCTAACTGACCACTGAAAAGACAACTTTGATACTGATTTCTAATGAAGATTAAGAAGTATACAATGCTTTTGGGAAACAGTTTTTCATATAGCTAAAGATAAATAATCAGAATTTAAAAAGGAAGTCATTCATCAAGAACATATTGTGACACAATTTATCTGCTAGATTTGAGAAGCAGATATTTATAGGCCTTTTGCTTTTCATCTATCCTAAGAATGAGAACACATCATTCACTGGATATGTTGTTTATAGTTTCATAAAACTGTTCCATGACAAGGTTTATTTTATCTGGTGCTTAATACCCATAAAATCATCACATAGTAGATGAATGGAATGGTCATAGTCTAAATGGGACTGATTCCTATGGAATATTTTATAGATAGAGCCATTTTATTTGGAACAGTAGGTCAAAGGGTATAAATCTGCAGCATAAATTTTTATTTTGGTCTGTCAGAAAAAGGTATATAATGGCCCTGATTGAATTTTTTCCATAGTAGCTGGAATTTCTCTCAAAATTCACTGCATAACAATGGATACAGATATAGAATCCTCATCAAATGGGACCAAAAATATTGTAGAAGCAAATAATTAGAAATTGGTGATTATAGAAACAATAATTCATTAGATTCAGTTCTGTGAAGTGAACTGAGGGAATTTGATGGTAAACCTTTCATAAGTCCTGAAGATTACAGATAAAGTATTCCTGCTTAATATCAACACTTTTTCAATACATCAAATAAGTAGTAACAACATTAATGTAATATTTAAAATTTATAGTTAATTGTATAAATTACAACCTATAATATATAAACTGGCTGTAATTGTACAAATTATAATTAATTTATAATAAAAAAATCTTTTTTTGTAAAATGTTTCTTCAAAAGAATAAAATACATATTTCAAAATAGGTTATTGTGAAATATTTTCATGTAAAAGATAAACAAACAAGCTTAATACATTCTGTTTTTCTCCCTTTTTTTGCAAGTAAAAGTGTTGCTTACTCTTTTATAGACCCTTGATTATTATTTCCACTAGTTAGCACATTAGGTTTTCCATTAGTTCCATTAGTTATTAAAATCAAATTTTAGACCTCTGTCTATTATTTGAGGCTTATACTGAAAAGGACGAATCTTACTTAGTTTTGTCCGTACTAATGTTCAGTACCTCTTGAAGTACTACAGTAAGAATCTCTTCAGGTTTCATTGACAGTCTTGGAGACTCAGGTTTGCTATCTTTAGTATTCAAAACGTGAACTCCATCAATGAGAAGAGATGATGTTAGCCCATCCCCATTCAAATCCCAATTCAGTTTCAAGAAAGTCTCAAGAGGGCTAAGAGGCAGGGAGAACAATACTCCTGTTTTAATTGCCAATGCAAATTTGAGATTATTAAGGAAATCCCACAGAAATGTGGATTTCTACCTAATTTTTTTCATCGGCCACTGAGGCCCTATTTACAGAAAAAAAGAGTTTTGTTTTGTTTTAATAGTTTAACAGTGGGAAGAAAGAGTGGAAATAATTGCAGGTGCAATTATTTCCACTGAGATGTTTAAATATATAATATTGTCCAGAGAAAGAGAGGATAATGCTTACAATGGACTAAACAAGAGACAAAATTACCTTTATTTCTAGCTCTCCAGAGGTTAACGAACTACATGTGTCAGCCTCTTCATGACCAAAGCAGAAGAATGCTGGTTCTGAAATTCAGGCTTTTGTCTTCCCCAGTCATTGCATAAGTTGTAATTTAATTGAGTAAAAGAATATCATAACCAGATTTCTAAAGCACAATTCCGGAAGAGAATGAAAGCAGTAAGCCTTTTCTTCTCTTTTGTCATCCCATCTGGAAAAGTATGAGGGACACAGTGGTGCAGGTGAGAGAAGGCAGATTTGTTTGCATATTGAATCCCAAATCCGAGACCGCCATTAGGCGTGTCTGTAAATTGTTGGGTAAAAAACAGCTTCAGGCAGCCACAATGAGACTGATTCTCTACTATGTATATAACAGGAATTCTGATTACATAGGCCCTACAACACTGGGTGATCTGTACCTTTTATATTCTGTTTACAGGCCTGAAATAGCAAAGAGTGGGGAACAGCTGAATCAGGTGTTTGTTCAGATCATATTGCCAAGGGCTGGATACTTTCATACTCTTGCACACAAACAATATGCTTGGGTCCAGAGGCTTCCACAAAATCCTCCTATTGGTCTCCATTAGTAATTCTACTAATTGGAGCAATTACATGAAGGACTTACTACTGGGAAGAGAAGCCATTATACTTCTTAACACACCGCAGTACATGCTGCTCTTTAATTAGAACAATCACAGCCACTCACATACTCAGAATTACTAGCTGAAAAGTTCATGGAACATGTGCTCTGATTTGCTAGCACCAGAAACACTCTTGGTGTGGCCTCAGTTTTTCAGAGACTATAGCACATCTTCTATGCATTACCATACATCCCAGTGTCATAAGGGAGACAAATACTTTGATTTTTTTGTGGATATCTGTAATAAAATAGACCTCATTTTATAGTAGTATGTTTTTACTCACCAAACCATACTACAGTTGGATTACACACTCCATATTATTTTTAGAAATATTTTTCTCTGTATAAATGCAATCATATCATGTATGGATTATATGCATAACTATCTTATGAAGTATGCTTTTTTAAAAATATTGTACCCAGAAATAGTTGAGGATGATGAGGATGATGATTTAGTTATGCATCTATGGCGTTTTATTCATTCAATTCATTTGTTTATTATATTTTAACTTATCCAGTTAACTAACTGGGAAAATTATACAAAATTAGGTAACCTTTTTTTAATGGCACTGTAGAAAGTTCTCTAGAATTTGCTGATAGTCTCTACTGTTGGGTAAGAGTATGTTATACTAACTTATCATTATATTTTTCAAAACAAGGGCCAAAACGCAAAACTAAACTCCCTGCACATATATAATAACCACTTTGTCTTTGGTATTTCCAGATATGGAGAGTTGTCTAGATAATACTGAGCAAAATAAACCAGTGACCAGAGTTTATGGCAATTTTGTTTGTTCTTACATATGGGAAATATGTTGAGTTTTCTAGAAGTACCTTAGAACCATTGTAACATAATATGGAAAACAATGAATCACATTACAGTAATTTAGTAGAATCTTGGGCTGGAAATAGAATATACAAAAAGTCCCAAAGGTGCTTTTCCAAAAGGCAATTGAACTTGCTTGTGTTTTTTCCTTTGAAAATGTTTTGTTTCTTATCCAAGAAGATTCTTCTTGGTTTCAAGGAAAAAAACAAGAAAGTTCAGTTGTCTTTTAGAAAAGCACCTTTGGGACAACCATGATCAGTGGTGGCAAACCTATGGCACTCAGAGCCCTCTCTGTGGACACACGTGCCGTTGCCCCAGCCTTGCCTCCCCCCGCAACCTCCTCCTCACCAGCAGCCCCCCTGAAGGAGAGTCTCCCTCAAGCGTGGCCCACATGGAGCAGCGCAGCCAAGGACATGGCAGCCAGGCAGCATAGACAAGACTCTGCCCTCATGCCCCATCATGCAGTTGATGCTGCAGGGCACAGGTAGAGGGCCACCATAGCGCTGCTGGGCTGCCTGGGTGATCTGCGGCAGGCCTTGGAGGCAGTGAGTGGTCCTATGGACAGGGGGGGTGGGGGATGGGGCAAAGCGGGGGCAGGGCAGGAGGGTGGAGTGGGGGCGGGGCCAGTTTTTGGGCACTCGGTCTCTAAAAGGTTCGCCATCACTGACCTAGATGATTGAGAATCTCCATAAATATACAAAAATAAAAGTAATCTTAACTGTCTAAAGAATAAGAAAAATATTGTCATAGAAATTTCTAAGCCATGGCTCAAAGGCTGTTGGTCTTTTGAACATGATTCCCTTCATTTGATCTTTGTATCCATTTTTTTCTTTCATTCTTATTCACATCAGACAACAGATGACCTTGTTTCTTCAGCAGAGTGTTCTAACGATGATGAAGATTTCATTGAATGCGAGCAGAGTGTAGGTAAGCCAGGTCAGTCTTCTTTTTGGCTTGCTTTTTGCAATTGACAATGCCAATACATATATGTGGGTCTGAATGTATACATATATATGTATGCTCATATATGTATACATGACATATGTATATATGGATCGAAATGTGTATTAAACTATCACTGTTTAAAGCCAAGCATCCAATCCCATGGAACTGGCAGGAGCAAAACATGAATAGGCCATCATGTTGGAAAGCCAATTTTGAAAAAAAAAGGGGGAAAGAAAGCCAACTGTTTGAAAGAGTGCCTGTTCAGTGTATTATAAACCATTGTGCTATAAATTTGTAATGGTTTTTGAACTGGCTCTGGTGGGGAGAAAGGAAGCAAATTGAAGAATTTTTCCTGAAATATTAAAAGTCTGACTATTAATTAACAAAATAGGTAAGGAAAAAAGAGGTATTACCATGGCTGTTTTTACATCTTTCTGACAGATATGAAAACATGCCTCAAAAGTTGTATTTGTCCATGGGATTTTAAAAGCGGTTAACATGGCAATGTATTTGTGCCAATACTGTACCCTGTTTATTTAACCAGTCTGAAGAGATTTAAACCACAATGAATCTGCAACAATTATTACACTCTGCCATGCTACCTGCAGCAATGATGCTTCAAAATGTATCCACTAAATGCCAAAACTGATTAGAAAATTTTGAATTGGGTTCAATTTCTCCCTTTGAGCATAGATACATTTTGATAATTTTATGGCTTTGGGGGAGGCGGGGAATAGATATGACTGTGCAATATCCAGCAGGCAACTGCAGTCTGTTTTTTAAAAAATAATTTTGTTTTGAGCCTTTCTTTTCTTTAAGTTTCATTTAATTTTTAATTTTGAGGCTTGTTCTGAATTAAGATAGTTATCTAATAGAGAACAGAATTTCATCAAATTTTTGTGTGCATTGTAAAAAGTTTTCTGCAAATCTATCCTTAACCACAAAACACAAAAAAGTCTTCTTTCTTTTCTTTTCTTTTGCTTTTGTTAGAAACAAACAAAAAGCACGAGATGGGGTGGATAGGTTATTAATATTATTTTGAAAAGCTTTATGTTTGCTAAAAATTAAACTTCAGATGGTTATGTTCATTTTTTCCTGAGGCATTTCAGATCAATACAATAATAGTAATACAAATCATCCAAAGCTAGCGCTTTCACATTTCTCTTCCACTATTCATATTCTGCTTGCATTTTTGGGTAAGACTTGCTCTGATAGTAGTAAAAACAGTTGTGGCTTTGCATGTAGCTAGGAAGTTCCACAAAAAGGCTAGAGTGCCAGCTTGGTTTAGTGGTTAAGACAGCTGGCTATAAAGCAGGAGATTGTGTTTTCTAGTCCTGCCTTATAGCAAGAAAACCAGCTGGATCACTTTGGGCCAGTCACTTTCTCTCAGGTTAAATAACCTCATGGGATTGTTGTTGTTGGGAAAATTGAAAGTGTATTAGCAATAGCAATAGCACTTAAACTTATATATCATTCCATGGTGCTTTACAGAATTCTCTGAGCAGTTTACATCACCACTGGCCCCAACAATCTGGAGGCAATGCTGACAATTTTATCAGCCTTAGAACAATGGAGTCTTGAGCCAGTCAGGATTGAACTCCCAGCAGTGAGCAGAGTTAGTCTGCAATACTGCATTCTAACCATTGCACCACCACAACTCCTTTAGTATATTTGCTGCCTTGAATTATTTATAAACATAATAAAGATAGAAAATAAGTAAATAAGTAAATAAGTAAATAAATAAATAAATAAATAGAAATATCTTAAGCAACATAGAATTAAACATTGGCATTCATGTTGACATACAATTCAGTACAAACTGATTATATTATTTGAAATATGCTCATTAAGATTTTATGGAATCCTAGTCAGGTAATAAAACATCTGCTAGCAAACCACTAAGCTCAGAAATCACCAAGGACTCCACAATCTAACACAATTTAACTACATATATTCTCTTCTGTTGGTTTTTGGCCAATTTAAGAATAAATACTCTTGCATTAGCAGCTGCTTTGTTGTGCTGCATAACTGGTAGCTCAAGATGCTCCTTTCCTAATATTTTTTTGTTTCTCAGTCATGTTCTTCTGGAATAAAGAATGGTGTTTATGAAAAGAAAAGTCATAGGTCTTAAACAAAGTGGTGATTTACAAACCTCATATGGCAGGGATTTGTGAGTTTTGTGAGCTCCTTCAGTAGGGCTGTGCTAGAGAATTTCTGCTATAGAAGAGGTCTTTGACCTTCTTTCTTGTGACTGATCATGTTTTTCAGCTTTTCCTGGCACTCCTATTGTAACTTCATCCATCACACTTGTACAGATATGCTGTCTGCAAGGGAAAAAAAGGATAGCTATTCAAAAATGGATTCGAATCTGGTCTTTTGTTTATAGCAGGCATGTCAAACTCGTGACATCATGTGACGTCACACAATGTATCACAACTTTCCCCCCATTGCTGGCAATGGGGTGGGCGCGGTTTCGACGTGACGCATCCCACCCGCAGGCCAGCAGTTTGACATGCCTGGTTTATAGTATTCAACAAGATACAATTAGATTATGAGTTTCCTATAGAAAGAGCTAAATATATATTTGAACCCCACTGGTAATTTTTATGACTTTGTTATTTTTTTTATTTTTCTAATTGCTAATACATTTGCACTTAAAATAGAAACCTTTTTTCACTCTTTATCAGTCTGTTCCTCTTATCCATCACCTGAAGACATGTTGTGAAGGCAGTATCATTACTTCTTCCATGGTGATGCATTGCAGTGTTTAGGACCTTGAGATGTGGCATCAATGAATGCATCAAGTTACTACAAATGTAAGAAGTGCCTGTTCATCCATAAAGAAACAGTTTAGAAACATAGAGTCCTGCCATACAACTACTGAGACAAAAAGAACTTCAAATTACATTCAAATGGCCACCAAATTATGCTTTGGTCATTATCCCCTAGTTGATGAAACTTCTAGAAGCTTCTGTTTTAAACCTTTTAAAATTCTCAACACACTCCCATTTTTTTTTAGTTTGAAAGTAAATGCTTCCAGCTTGTTTCAGCCACTGATATATTTTTAGTGTTGCTCCTCTTGCTGATAGGCTGTGTTAGAAAATTTGAATCATATGGAATCTTTTCAGCCTTAAAGGCTATATGTTTACTGGATGTTAATTCTGGCATCACAAAGGAATATAAATGTTCAAGTGTGCATGAACACGCATGCATTTATTAATATGCACAAACATACAAGCACTTCATGCACATACAAATGAAGGCTGTCTTTCACAGAATCTTAAAGTAGGAATAATCTCTATTATGTGTCTGCTTTGATCTATCAACATTGAAATTGCTGCTGATTATCTGAAATGTACTATTTCTGGAAGACTCAGCATATCATCTGCTAATTTTCTTCCAAGAATTAGGAGAATTCTGTGACCATCGGGCTTTCAGGAAAAAGGTCATTTTTTTAAAAAAAAAAGTATTCTTCTTCCAAGTTCTTGGCAAGGTGTAGTAATTACAAATTGATGACTTGATTCAAAGGACATTTGATCAACTTACTTATTCTAATTAAATCTGTGAACAGAATGTTCAAAACATTGAATGAGCTCCCTGAAAATTACTTTTTTAATTTTTTAATTTATTTTTTTTATTCAGATATTCAATATGCGATTTCCACAAAGCCATGCTAGTATTTTTAAGCTGGAATGAGACAATTTCTATATTGGTTAGCACATTTTCTGCAAGTTTGCTGGACAATTTGGAGGCTGCTAGGTTTCATCCTAGGACAGAATACTTCAAAAATGTATTCAGATTAAACCACTGAAGCTATCTGACTGATATTTTACCAAAAAAAGATCCATCATCTTTGCTATTTTCATCCAGTTCTGTCAAAACCAGAATCAGCTGAAAGTGTTCAGTATTTTACTGTATTATAACTAGTGATTTGATTTTTTTCCCCAAATTGATTTCAATTGCATCTTGTTGCCTTCCAATTTCAAATTTAAATTTAATTACATCATATACATACATTTTTAATGCAAATAAGATCTTGGATTAATTATGTATCCTTATTAGTAACTTAGAGCCCACTCAGTGTAGAATCCAAGAAACAGATCTTCATAAATCTGTGTATACTTTATCAGGTTAACTAGGGTCCTTTCCTCTTTCCTATTTTGCCACAGAGAGAAAATTGTTTATGTATCATTAATTAAGATATGCATCTAAGTTATGTACTTTCTTCATCCAAGAGATTTAATAAGGTGAAGATGGGCAGCATATAAGTTTAATAAATGAATAAATAAATAAATGAATAAAAGAATGAATGAATAAATAAATAAAACATTGAAGAAACCAAAAAGATTTTTCTTGATGAGAATTTGTATATATTAATATTCTATAGCAATAAAAAGAACCAAAAGATAGAATGTAAAAAAATACAATTTGGAACGTGCGGCTTTTTCTTCATTCCTTTTTGCTTACAAAGGTTAACTCTTGCTGAAGCACTTGCATGTAATGGTAATTATTTTGATAAGTGTGCTGGTGTGTGTTTCTCAATTATTCTTGGTTATAGGAGCAGCTCTACCACTAGACAAGCAGAAGATGATGGGGGTAGCCAGGGAAGCTCCTGTCCTGCTATTCCTTCAGTCCCTAGCCATTGTCATTTCCTGTTCCCCAGAAAATGGCATTACAAGTGTCAGATAAACTGCCCTGCAGCCAATAAACTAGATGCCTTCATTAATCTCAGAGCACTCAGTGGCATTTTCAAGGTTGAAATGTGATTCAACTACCAGTCTGGTCACCTTCTCTATGTGGAATGGGATACAGACTGTAAGAAAACTTGGCTTGACTTCTTGGCACTTTTTGCTAACCATATAAACTCACACATCCCACCTATCACTTGATTAGCAGTATCTATAGACCTAGTTGCCTGGCCTGCCAGATAAACAAACCAAATAACTCATAAAATGATAAAATATGGCTATTTAGTGAGGATA